GAGGAGAGAAGCCTTGAGCTGGTACTGCTGCTGAAACTTCACCTTAAAAGGACTACACAAAAGTTGATCTTAGCCTGTATTTTTGTAGGACTATTAACATCTGCTTAACCAAGTTTCAAATAAGTGTTCACACTTTAGTACATTATTCTGATGCTCTTGAAACTTTTTATTGATTGCTTACTTTTTTTAAGAAACTAATATTTTAACTTAATTGCAGTTAAAAAAGGGGACAGGATTGCCCAGCTCATCTGTGAACGCATTTTCTATCCTGAGCTAGAAGAAGTTCAAGTAAGTTGCCAAAAGAAAATATTTCTGCTGTTTTCAATAATTAATAATTTTAGTTGTATATAAACTGAAATTTATGATATAGATAAATACTTTGCTTTAAAAGCAAAGCATGAAAACTGCTTAGTAGCATTGCTACCTGAATAAAAATCTTGATGCTTTTAATGCATTTATGTGGGGGTTTTTTTGTAGTTTTCAGCGTTAACAGTACTTGAGAAACACTTCAGTATATACTAGAAACAGTTGTCTCACATTTGTTTAAACTTATACAAAAGGTATTCTAAGGTGTCTTTTAAAGTTTTTTTGGTTTAGTTTCTCAATGATAGCTGTTGTTACGAGTCAATGTACCTTCCTCTATGATAGACGTTGTCTGTTGTATAGAAGCAAAAGGCAAGTTAAAACACTAAAACAATTTACCATAATTGATGTCTTTCAGGTTCTAGATGATACAGAACGTGGCGAAGGTGGCTTTGGTTCTACTGGAAAGAACTGAAAATTATTTGAATGTGCTTCCTATATATTTTTTTGTTGTTACTTTATGTTTTGTTATTTCTAAATTTTCATTTGAATTAGAAGTGGGATTTTGGAGTACATTAAAAATTTCAGGTTTTATTCAGACTTGTCTGTATCTGTCCTTCTGTCTATTTTTACAGGCAGTGAATTAATCTGCATTATGGGGAAATGTGCATGATTGACTTAATTGATTAGTTGATGGATTATTTTTTCTTTTTTGATATTCGGCCCTCAGTAATAAAAACTCATTAATTATGTGATGATTATACTCTAATAAATTAAAAAATAACTTAATGATTTGATTTTATTTTACTCACCTAAACTAAAATGGCTGATTGTTCCCTTGCCAATTTGTGTTCATCTTCTGAAAGCTATTTTCCATGTAGCTCACTATTTCATGCTGAGAGCTTGTTTCATACAGAATCAGTGATAATACAGGTATCAATATGACTTCCCACTCTGACCCCTAAATCAGAGTAAGGCAAAGATATTTAATATTGCATCTTCTACAACCTGTCAAAATACTTGTATTTCTGTTCAGAGCTGAAGTTCTGTTTTTGATCCTTAGCTGATCCTCAAACAGCCAGTTTTTCAGCTCTCTATTAAAAGAGCAGGCAATACAGTGTTTGAGCTAACTAACACAATTCATTTGCAAATAACTTCTATATAGTAAATAAATGCTATGAAATATGCTGTTGAAATATTTGTTGACGAATTCATTAATAAGTTACTTTATGGAAGAAAGATTATGAATTGTTGAAGCAGTGCACAAATTGGTTTTTCGGTTCTATTTTGATTCCTTAGCATAGAACTCTTTTTGGAATCTGCCCCAAACCTGATTGTTTCTTTAAGTGTGGGAATCTCTTAAATGACTCAAAAGCTTGCAGGTGAAACAACACCCACACAAGAGACAGGACAAAAAGAATTAATCTTGACTATTTTGCCACTTTACAGAAAAGAATTAGAAAAGATGATGAAGCTCTCGAACTTCCCCCACTCCCCCTGCAGCTGTCTGTATTCTCTGTTTAGATTTTCTTAGCTGAAAGGTCACAGGTCTGAAATACCGTATGTTACACTGTGTTCAGCAGTGCAAAGGTAGGCCCTTCAGTAGACTAAGATGTTCACAGCAGTCTGCTCTTCGTTAGTCTCAGATCATAATATTCATGTTAGTACTAGTTTCATGTCCTTGTCTAGGACTAACCATTGCCAGCGAAGTACACCCAAAATAGTGAACGTTTACCCCCCTGCCCCTTCTCCAAGGAGCTGGATAATAAAGTGTAATATGACAGCATTCAGATTCCTTCAACCACAGGATAGTCAGTACATTGACTTAGCAGTGCTGAAACAATGAGTACGTTCATCCTTGATTAGGGTAGAAGTCTGTCCTTCCACGTGCATTATATACTTATCAGTCCTTCTGTTCCGCCCCCCCCCCTTATCACAACACTCATATCTGCAGACCCAGCCCTTGATAAGCAGGCTTACCATGCAACAGCCTGTTGTGAGCAAGAAGTGCATCATACCGATGGAAGTTTTAAATTCATTGGAAAAGCTGATCTTGACACTAAGTTTCTTCTGTTCTATAGTGTGCCAAAAAGGAACTTCAATTACCAAAGGCTATTTAAACAGCTTAAAATAACTGATTTTGTATAAAGCTCTTTCCTCTTGCTGGACTGTAAGTTGAAAGCAAATTTTGCTGCTCCTCTTTTATTTCCTTCCCACCCCC